ACACTTTCACAATTCCTTGTACAGTAATGTCTCTCTAATTGTCCATTTTTGTGGACAATTTTGGAAGAGGAGTCAACATTATCGATCGTCGACAACTATAAAAACGAGCTGCAAGGCTCGAATGATCGTATCTCCGCTTCCCAAATTTTCCATTCTTGTGCGCAATCTGAGCGTCGATTAGGGAGACATTACTGTACTATGAAAATGTTTTTGTTAGAAATTTGTATACGAACTTCTTCGTTGAAGCACTTATTGTGTTGACAATTGCAGGAAGTATAAATAAATCAGATCTCGTCATTTTTATAAAACAATATACATTAGTCGCGTTTAGAACTCGGTAGTTTTAGTGTTAATAAATGGAGAAGAATGTAGGAATGTCTTTAAATTCTTTAATTGTCGTCGTTTCTCGGAATTTCACTCGGTCATTTTTATCGTAAATGCATAAAATTCACAGTCCCCGTTCATGAACTGTATTGCTGTTTTAACGCTAATTATTAGAATGCGGATTTGATGCGTTTCTGAACAAAATCGGTCGACGAAACACAGAACAGCGAAACGATTCAAACAATAATGTTACATTATTTTCAATCTAGTACACCTGGTGAAAGAAACAAGCTTTCGTTTTACTTTAGTCCGTTGGAATTGAAGCAGCAAATTTTTATCTTGCATAACGAACCGCAGTCTACTTGCACTCGAGTGATGACTCAGAGGCATCGCTCAAAAAATTGTTACACCCGTTCCAAGATAAATTTGACGTTCTCGAGTTAGTTTGTATTTAAGAGACTGTTAAAAGCGCAACTGTTGTATATAAGTCGCAAGACTCACTTGATAAAAAATAAAATCTGTCTTATAAGATGGAAATATTGTAGGTCAGAAACCCCGTTTTGGATTTAGAGTTAAAACGTCTTCGTGCGCACAGGGTTAAATTCTTTTATTTCTAACTACAGTACTCTTCTTTAAATATATTTTTCTCTTTCCTATTTTCTTGCAATATCTTGTCCCTTTTTTTTTACTTTGTGTTGCATACTCTTGACTTCTTCAATTTCTCATACTTTCGTATTAGCGTGTTACCGTCACCGTAAGAATCTCGTTGTATATAATATCAATAATTTACTAACAATAGAGAAACTTTTTTCCATCGATTGAGTAAACGAAAGTAAAATTATTATTGCAGAAGCCGTGAAAATGACGGCTCGCCGAATTTTTAATCTACGTTTACTCAGATTGTAAAGATACGTTCATGAGTTATTTATTATGGTATATAAAAATGTATAAAATATGTATAAAATATACATAAAAAAATATAAGCAAAAATATATAAAAATCAAAATAAATGTCTTATTGTTATTTTTATAAGCTGATATTAAGACATAATATTATAACCAGTGCAATCACATAATCATATTTATGAATAAATAACAACAACAACAACAACAACAACAACAACAACAACAACAATAATAATAATAATAATAATAATAATAATAATAATAATAATAATAATAATAATATAAAAGAGGTGCTTGCAGTGACCCGTAAATCTAGCGTCTGATTTAATGCCGCTGTTAACTTCGAAGATAGGTTTCGCTTTCCCTTGGTCGGTCGCCTCGGGCAATCGGGGATCGAGGAATCGAGGGATCGAGGAATCGAGGGATCGAGAAATCGATCGACGCGGAAACTCCGTAGCGCGGTCGGTCGCCCTTGGGAATTTCCTTGGGTTTTTTCGGCACATCTGGTCGACACGCGTCCCTTAGAATCCGATGACCTGGCCCGGTCGCCTTTTCTCTTCGATACCGTTAACACACCCCTATCCACGCATATGCTTCGCAGATACCGGGCCGGCCTATTCTCGCTGGGGGTTCCCCAGTCCCTGCAAACGAGGGCCGTGTCCTTGTCCTCCCCCATATTCCTTCCTTCCACTGTCCCTGCCGCAGCCAGGCAATTTTATCGGCCGGCGCGGCGTTTCCCGTTTGCGAGACTGGTCGATACCGGAGAAACTTTCCGAAAGAATCTAGATAAAGAGAGTTTGGCTCGATCAGCGTCGAGCGCGTAGATTAGTCGGCTTATATCTGAACCTGTATTGAAACGGGAAACCTCGATGAAACACGCGCTCACGCCGATGCTGTGCCCGAAGCCAGAGTTCGGCAAAATTGATCTGATCAATGATCAACAGTTACAACTCGTTAGTTACGATAACTGATTTATAATAATTCATAATAACTAGAATGGGGATCTTCGTGGAAATTCTCATTTTCATACGTCATTTTGCGAAAATCAGAATGAAGGGAAAGCTTCCTTCGTTAACCGATCGACTTCGCATTGTAAAAACAAAAGAAAATTACTATCAGATATTGTTAATTTGTAAGTTCTTCTACATTTTAAAAAATCTGCGCGTGTCATGGATGCATACAGATCCGCGGTCTAATTATCGTTTACTTAATTATTATAAACTAGTTATAATAACTAGCGAGTTCTAATGTTTAATCATCGATAAAGTTACTTTTCGTTCGACGAATTTACGAACATAGCGGTTGTTCGGTGTTAAACGGGAACGGATTTCGGCCGTGGTGAAATAGGCCTAAGAAGAATAATTTAGTTTAATCCGCTTAAGTGCTGACCCAAAGAGTAGCGTGTACCTGGGCGAAAGTAAAAAACCTGGTCGATGGGGTTTGGTAAAGTTTCGGAAAAAAATTACGAAGATTGAAAAGAGGAGGAGCCAAAAATCGCTGGTGAAAAGATTTAGGAGCGTATTATTCGTCGCGCTTAAATTTCGCAGAGACCACTGCCAACGCGTCCTGAAAAAAACGCCAAAGCCGCAACGAAGTTAATTGCTATTTAAAATTTTGTTCAACGTTTTGCTTGCGACTGTCCGCAGAGCCGTTGAAAAAAATCAATCTCGTCGGCGAGTTTATCAGCATACATACGGATCCTCGTAATCGGATCGTTGAATCTTGCATTTGTTGTAAAAGAATCGGGTTTGAATACGAGACTTTTGCGCAAATGACCAGAACAATTGACTAAACACGCTACCGCTTAATTTTAAATTAAAATAAAAATTTTTACTTTAAATCAATTTTAAATTAAAAATGTCCCGCCTTTTTGCTGCACGGTAATGCATGCTGGGGCCTCAAAATGTGGCACGGTGGGACCATTTGAAACCCACTCTGTAACAACAAATTGAATTGAATTACTATTATTTTTGTATGCTTTTATATTATTAACATTTTATATTATAACATTTTACATTATTTTATATTATTGTTTAACTTAAATCGCAATAAAATTTCTGTGCAACATGGGTCTATTTTATTTTCTGAAATCCCGTGCCCCAAAGAGTTAACTGGTGACTCCGACTCGCTATTAAAAATTGTAACATAACGTTACAAATAAATTTTAACATCATCAAATTTGTTTATATTTTAAGAACTGTTAAAAGTGTAGTTATTACACGAGCCAGAAAATTCAATTTCATATATGTGTACAAAATGCGCTTGAGTCATACAAAATCGAAGTCGAACTGCAAGTTAAAAAAATAATTTTGAATTCAGAGTTGAAATGACTTCGAGTGCAGAGTATTAAAAATAAGCATTAGAATAAAAAGATAATTTTGACTTCAGAGTTGAAATGACTTCGAGTGCAGAGGATTAAAAATAAAGATTAGAATAAAAAAATAATTTTGATTTCAGAGTTGAAATGACTTCGAGTGCAGATGATTAGAAATAAGGATTAGAATAAAAAAATAATTTTGATTTCAGAGTTGAAATGACTTCGAGTGCAGATGATTAGAAATAAGGATTAGAATAAAAAAATAATTTTGATTTCAGAGTTGAAATGACTTCGAGTGCAGAGGACTAAAAATAAGAATTAGAATAAAAAAATAATTTTGAATTCAGAGTTGAAATGAGAGAAACTTCGAGTGCAGAGGATTAAAAATAAGGATTAGAATAAAAAAATAATTTTGATTTCAGAGTTGAAATGACTTCGAGTGCAGAGGATTGGAAATAAGGATTAGCATTATACGAAGAAGAAAAGAAAGAAAGAAAAAAAAGAAAAGAAAGAACGGAGAAAAGAGATAATCGGTAGCGGAAGCGTGCACTTGCAGCGGCTTCTTGGAATTATAACGCAATGCGTAGCATTCGGCGGGATATGTGATTAGATGCCGGACGGTAGCGATAAAGATCGCTTCCGAGTGCCGCCGCGCTTTCGTTCGAGCCCGTGGAGGAATCGTGAATTGACACGGTACGCGCATCTAGGCGAGATAAAGGTAACGATATTACGAAGCACGGAAGCGACACAGGGGCAGCATCCTCGATAAAAGGAGGGTGGGTGCGAACGACTGGTTGGCATCTCGCACGGTGGTCGATTCGTTTCCCGTAACGCGAAGCTTTCTCGGGCTCTGGTCGCCGTGCGACAACACCTCGGTGGCTACCGCTGCCTCCTCGAAATCGAGTCGAGAACGTTCAGACCGATGCCGGCGAGCGGTCGGAGAGGCGAAGGAAGGTAGGCAACGACCAAGAGGAAAGAAACCAGCGGACGGGACGGGACCGAATGGAATGGGATGGGTCGGGACGGGACGGGACGGGATACCTCGGAGAGAGAAACAAAGAGAGCAGAGAAGCGAAGAAGGATGGACTGCTCTGGCTCCGGCTCCGGCTTCGGCCGCGACTCAGAGAAGCCGAGTCAAACTCTCGGCCGGCTGGCGCCGTTCTGTCGGCCCCCGCTGCCTCTTGCCGCCAACAATGCACGCCGCACACCTCTCCGCCCCTCGCTCCTCTTCGCTCCTCTTCTCGTCTCAGCTCTCTCGGTTCTCGGCCCGCACGCCAGCCTCCGTCTCTCCGCCGTCAACACCGACACCATCACCGACACCGACACCGACAACGGCACCGACATCGACACCGACGCAAAGCAACAGAGCGAGCGAGAGAGAAAGAGAGGAAGGGTGGGAGAGAGACGAAGACTGACACCGCGCCACACCGTCCACGGCGCGACACAGATCTCGCGAGATCGTTTCTAACGATCCGCTTCGTCCCGTTGCATCGTGGACGAGACGCGATGCAACGTGTCTGGAGCCAGAGTCTCGGGCCGTGACACGCTCGAGAACCGATCGAGTTTCCGTGTGCGCCGCGAACCCGATTCTCCTCGGGTCGTGCCTTATCGCGTACCGGTGCCCCCGAGTAAGTGAGATTCGGGCAAACGCCGCTCTGCTACCTACGTCTTGCGGTCCCGAGGCTGGCCAGAAGAAGAACAACGTCCGAGGGGCTTTGCGCGTGTTGGTGACCGTGCGAGAGAACAACCGGCGGGACAACACACCGGTGTGTCGGCGGCGCGGCGGTGTAGTGGTGGTGGCAAGCGGCAGTGGTGGTGGTGGTGGTAACGTTAGAGCCAGCGAGAAGTCGCAGGCAGGCCAGTGGCGACTGTCGGGACTCCCTCGCACGCGTATCCGATGAAAGAGGCTCGGACGCACGAGGCGGCCAGTCAGTACATCGTCGACCGCGATCGAGCGAGGACTCGGTGCGCTTCGGAGCTTTTTCTACCTGGAGCATCGATCCGGTCGATCGTTCGTTCGTTCTTTCGAACACCAGTTGTGCGGCGGGATCTCCTCTGCTCGCGGCAGGACAAGCAGTTTGTCACAGTGGTTCGAGACATTTGGATTAGTCGGGTCTGCTGCGCCGCCGAGGCGAGCTGTAGGACAAGGGAAGGAACGTCTCTGCTATACACGTGTGCATGGGATCCGGCCCGCAGGGAGCCAGTGCATCGCGCCGCAATACACAGAGTGCGCGTTCAGTGATCGAGATCCGTAAAGGGTTGTGAACGCGCGTTCTCCGATACCAGCCGAACAATGACCACCCATCGCGTAGTCGAGTCCACCTCCGAGCTGTCCGCTCTGATGAAAGGTAAACCTAGTTTTAATTTTCTTTGAAATCCGCCGCGCACTTCGGCGAACCGATGCCGCTGGTTACGCTCGCGTCGCGTCGCGGTAATCGTGGGCGGGACGGTTAACGGCGTTCGGTAGCGAGGGCCGATAACGATTGTTATGAACGCCGCGGCGCCGCCAGTCGATTCGTGCTCGGTATCGCGACGGAATCGAGACACGGTGTCGCGAAACGGTCTTCCTAGGATTCGACGGGTCTGCCGGGATGGGTCGAGGAACACGGGGCGAGAGAATGCAAGAGAGAGAGAGAGAAAGAGAGACGAGGGAGTGTGCGAGAGCGTGCGTGTGTCGTCGGACAGATACGCCAGCGAGAAGCTGAGAAAGACGACGGATTGTGCTGGATGGCAAGAAGTCGGGGCGAAGAAGGCGGCAGGGGGGGCGGGGGCCGGTCGCTAGAAAAGGAGGACGCGAGCGAGACGAGAAAGACGAGGGAGAGAGACGGGCGCGGCGGCGCCAGCGTGGGTTGCCACACAGACGAGCGAGCAGACGATCGAGCAGGCGACGAACCGTCGAAGCGCCCAAGCACGCCGATGCCGAGATCAAACCAACAAACGAGCCCTTGACCAAACTCGAAACTCGTCGCCTAATCGCGATAGACCGCTCGCTCCCGATCGTCTCTCGAGATCCTACTCGATCGTCGCGCGTAGGCGGATCGGATCGGATCGGATCGGATCGACGAGCGTTTCCGAGAACGGGACTCGGTCTCTCCTCCCTTCGATCGCCTCGAAATCGCGGGACGAGCGGAGGAGAGCACCACCGCGATTACCAGTTAAACCAGATTTAACTGTCGGTGTCCCGAATGTAATCGATACCCTATTGTGTGCGCGCCGCGGCACAGGTACGCACAGGTAGAAAAACGACGATTAAAAAAAACGACGGGTCGCGGGGAGAGGGCGCGCGGCGGCGAGGGGACGAACGGTGCCTCGGGAAGCGCCGAACCTTCCACCCACCTGTGCGCAAAGTCGCACCTGCTACCTGAACCGAACCTCTTCCGTTCGACACTCTCCCGAGTGCCGGAGGCTCTCCCTCTCCCACCTCTCTTCGTCCGTCTTCTCCCCTCGTTCGCGTTTTCGTTCCCGATCGCCCCGAGGATTTCTCCTTCGCTCGATCTACATACATATTTCGTCGTGGCTCGACGTCACCGACGTAAAGCTTCTTCGATCGCCGCCGTACAACGTTTCCGTAACGATTCCGCGTTAGAATCGCGGCGACGGCCGCCCGCGTTCTCGGCAAAGGTCGAAGGACAAGGTCGCGAGACGGGGACCGGCCGGAGCAGAGAGCGTTATCTGGCCGAACGAATCGCGCGCTTGCTCGATCGGCGCGTCCCCGGTCTTCTATCGTCGCGTGCGCCTCGCGGGCCGTGGGTGCAGCCGCACTCGCGGTTAAATTCGGTAGGAAGGAAGCAGTTCGCGAAGCAGACTCGTCCGCGCGTATCAAGACCGTGTCGATATCTCGATATTCTTGGAACAAGCTCCGTCGCGCGTTCGCCGAGTAAATATTTGTGCCGGCCGTCGCGCCGCCCGCGATCCTCGTCCACGCGCGTCGAGTCACGGACAAAGCCGCCGGCTTTCCGAAAACCGAGCCCCCGATCTGGCGGCCTCGCTCTCTCACTGATTCCTTTCCTCCGATCCTCGTTCCCGGACGACGAATCGAGATCGTGAAATTCGGTGCCGAGCGGCCGCGATCGCGACGGATCTCAGGGCCGATTTTTCCATCGATCGGCGCCGATGTTGCCGGCGAAGGTGGAACGCGGGGTCTTCGCCGCGCTTTCTCGATCGCTTATCGAGGGTCAGACTTTCGCTCGTTAGCGCCAGGCTATTCAAGAAATCGGCGACGCGCGCGGTCCGGAGCATCCGCGGCAGAGAATTTCGAGCGAGGGATAGCGGCGCGGCGCATCCTCGTGTTCCGCCGGAGCAGCCCGCGTCGTCTCCGGCGAAGCCGCGCGACGCGCAACGCGTGGGTAGGCACACACAGCTCGCCTTTACGCCAGTTTACACAGATGTCCACGGTTATTTCGGTTTGTTTGAACAATTGCCGAACGGGACGGCGAAGAAGGTGGCTTCGAGATATTCACGAGCCACAATGCCGTGGGACACGTGTCCGACGGCCGTGGTCGTGGTCGTGGTCGTGGGACGGCTCTCTCGGATTCGCGTTCCACGGAACGGGATCTCGCGAAACTGAATCGACTGCTCCCCGCTTCTCGACCCATTTTCTATACGTACAGCCTCGTCGACGAAACGGCGAGTCGCGCCGCGTCGCGTCGATAGAGAGACAGACCGTGTGTTTATCTCCGCTGTTTCCTCTTCCTCCGCTCGCTCTTCGTCTCTCTTTCTTCCTCTTGTTCGCGCAACGATACACGTTTTCGCGCGGCCGAAGGAACGCGACCGAGGGAGAGCAAAAGCGAGAGAAGCCCGAGAAACGAGGAGAGAGAGAGAGAGAGAAGCCCGAGAAACGAGGAGAGAGAGAGAGAGAGAGCGAGCGAGTGCGGCCAGATGCTCGGTATCGAAGGCGACGAGGCTTATCGGAGCAACGATAAATTCGGTGGGCGCGCGACCCACGCTGTCGCCAGGTGCGCCCGACCAGTTATCTTCTGCTCTCGACAACCGAGAAGAGGCCCCCGCCGATCCCGGTGAAATCGATCTCGAGACGATCGCCCCGAGAGCTTTTTTCCGTCGAGATACGGCGAACCGGAAGACAAGAATGTGGGGCTCTGTCCATTAAACGCGGCTCGTTTCACGATGGAAATACCATAGTTTCGATGGGGTTGCGTGGCGAGCGAAACGATCGTCGGGACGAGGTGTAATCCTCGGGACCGTATCCCCCGTGGTTCGTCGAGAGAGGCCGACGGAAGAAGACCGATCGGATTGGAGCCGCGCGGTCGACTCCGCAAAAGGCAACGAAACGAGAGGAACGAGAAGAAGAACGAGGAGGAAGAGCGCGGCTGGCGCCAGCGCCATGTGGTCTCCGATCCCCTCCCAGGCTAGCTTTTCCCATCGTTTAAATCGTCCGTCGGCGAGCAGCCGGGAGTTGGAACGGACGATGCTGCTCGCATGTTCGATTCGCCGAGGCGGATCGTGGATTAACGGATCGGGCCGGGGGCGACGGCGTTACAAAGTACAATGCACAATGCGCGACGTCTGCGCGTCGGCCGCGGGGCCGGGCCGATAGATAGCGGGAACGGAAAACGGAAAAGAGGAGCGCGTTAGAATCTCGGGCGAGACCTGTGCGCCAGATGGTACCAGTTGGGTGACGCACCGAACCTAAAAACATCCCGTCGCCGCGGCTACGCGAGGCGAGACGACGCGAAACGATGCGAGACGGCGCGTGGCGTCACGGCACAGCCCAAAATCGTCTCGCCCACTGAATTCTCTATCGGAGATAGGACCCGATCCGATCCCCTTCTTTCCCCCCCCCCCCCCCTTGTCCCGTGACGCGAAACAACCGAACCTCTCTTATTCGCGCGGACTTCAGCTTTTACGTGACGGCAATTATTCGTTTGTTTTCAGCCGGGGTCATGGCCGGTTCCGATCGGGACGCTGGTTTCTCGAGCGGAGCGGACGAGGACGACATGTCGGGCCTGCACTCGCCGAGCGCCTCGGAGGACAGCCTGGAGGTCCAGGTGACGCCGATATCGTTGAGGAATAAGAGGAAACTGGCGGAACCGCGGAAGATCCAGGAGCCGAGCACCGCGCCGTTGAAGAAGAGGCGATTCGAGCGGGTCGAGGAGACGCCGGTGGTGCCCGACGACGAGGAGACCAGGACCACCAGCTCCCCGTTCAGACCGTGGAGCAGCTCGAGCAAAACCGTCGAGACGACGAGCTCGTCGTCGACCATCGTCGCGGAGAAGGTTCAACCCGCGCCGACGATCGTCGCTGCTCCGCCGGTCGGGTTCGAGCCGATCGCGTCGGCCGCGGCCAACGACAGGCAAGAACAGGAGGCTTTCCAGGCTCGTAGGGAGTCGCAGCGAACGGAGGATCCGGCGACGAGGCTTCGGCACTCGGCGCAGTCTCGGCTGTCCCGAAACGACAGACGAGATCATCCTGCTGGACCGAAAGCCGAGGCGGCGGCCTCGGCCAGCAACGCCGCGAACGCGGGCTCGACGTCGAACGGCGGCGTCGCGGCCACCGCGCATCCCAGACTGCAAGAGGAACCCTTGTCGCTGGTCCTCAGGGGAGAGGTGGAGAGCAGGGTGCCGTCGCATCCGGCCGTCAACGGAACCTACGAAAGGACGTATCCGGTGGATCGGGTGAACGTCTCGTCGGCGTCGTCTTCCTCCTCCTCGTCGTCCTCCTCTTCCTCCTCGACCTCCTCGTCGACCGCCTCGACGTCGGCGTCGTCCTCGTGTCTACTGCTGAATCGCCAAGAAAACCGTCGGCCGGCCGTCGCGTCGAACGACGGCGATTCACCGCCGACGGTGCCGACGAACGCGCAGACGAACCACGCGAGGCAACACTCGTCGGCCGGCCAGCAGAGGAACTACAAGAACATGACGCGCGAGAGAAGGATAGAGGCGAACGCCCGTGAAAGGACCAGGGTGCACACGATAAGCGCCGCGTTCGACACCCTGAGACGCGCCATACCGGCCTATTCCCACAATCAAAAGCTGTCGAAGCTGTCCGTGCTGAGGATCGCTTGCAGCTACATCATGACTCTCGGCAAGATCGTCGGCACCCCGGAGGGAGAGTCGACGAACACCGCGTCGCTGGGGGCTTGCGTGGATCTCGTGTCGAGGACCATCCAGACGGAGGGCAAGCTCAGGAAGAGGAAAGAAGACTGAACGAGCCCGGGAGAACGCGGAGATCCAACGAACTTCTATATCTCGCAGACGGACGCCCGACAACGGCGCCCCCATCGAAGCGACGAGGCCGGCTCTGTCTTCGAGTCGCGTCGCTTCGCCTCGCTTGCCTCGCTATCACAATGCTGCAAATCTAACCCAGACGCGGACCGTAAGGGGGTCCAACGACGATCGTGCAATTCACCGAATTCGAACGCTTCGAGGTTCGGTCGAAGGAACCGGGACGACGGCGGACAACGTGGCTCGCCGGGTCCAGGAGAGAAACGGAACCGTGGAGTCGGTGGTGCGCCACGACCCATAGAAATGCGTCCCATCGAACGAGATGATGTCGCGTGAATCTAATGTTCCACGTTGTAAGAGGATGTTGAGCGTTTGCGGGCTCGCTTTCGTCGAACTTCAGACAAATAAAAGGCAAAACAACACTCGAAATCGTGTGTCCCGCGTGTCTGTCCATTTATTTTGCAACCCGCCAACGCGATCCCTTGGCCGCGCGGCACCACCTGCGTGTTTCGCTATGCGAACAACCGGTTGCGAGCGGATTTTTCGAGCGGCGACGTCTACCGCGTGTAACGCGATCGCTATCAGCGCCACGACCTAATACGAGCCGATAAGGACGTGCCGACGAGTGAGAGACGAGCGGAGACGAGCCGAGACGCGGCTCGCGATTTTATCGTAAACGCCCGATCCCCCCCCCCCCCACGTATAAATAGAATTCCGCTTCCTTCCTTCCGGCGTCGCGGCGTTACATCGCGGTGTTCCCGCGGCCAGATTCGCTCGCCTCGGGAGTTTACTCGTTCGAGAACCGGCCCCCTCGGCTCGCGCACCTTCTCATGGTATCGCTTCGGTCAACTCGGTCGCCTCTTTTTTCCGTCGCGGCGAGACTCTCCGGAGCTCTCGACCGCCGGCAAAACATAATCCCTAACATGGCCACCGGTGCGACACCGGTGTCGTCGATACGGAATGAGACGTACACGGCCGACAAGTGGGACTTGCTCGCCGGGCCGCGCGCGGGAGGGAGATGTCAAGAACGCGAAACAACATCTGCTCCTTTATTCCCGGACTCGTTCCCGCTCGCATTCGCGATCCGATTCCCGCTTCCCCCCGCCCCGGCACCAACACCTCGTCGCGAGCGACGATCGGGGAGCCCGTTCGCGCGGGTTACACGATCCCGTCGTTCCGTCGGCGAGACCGTCGGCCAGACGGAAGAGGACACACCGGGACGAGAGCTTGCTCTCTTGCATACGCGGAGGCTAACTCTCGCTGCCACGAGAAATTGCACGCGCGCACCTGCTGCATAGCGCAGGTGCGTTCACCGGTTTCATAAGCATCGCCAAATTTTCGACGGTTACCCGTCGCGAATAATAATCGGTCCTGTGAGCGTTCCTCGGTCGTTCCCGACGCGGCCGCCGATCTTCCCGGCCCACGGAACCACCGCGACGACCCGTCCCGCGAATCCTTCCGCGCCGAACGGAATCGCTCGCCGAATAATCGGGGAATTTATGTGGAACAGCGTAACCGTGAAGCACAGCGCTTAACGAGGCAAACTTCTATATACGCATGTAGCGTGTCTGGGTGGGAGGTTGCCAGAACGTTGGCGCCAGTTGACCGTCGCCGGCCGCCAACCGCCAGCCAGCAACCGCCAACGTTCTATGTCGTTCTATGTCGAACGACCTACGCGAATGCATGCGGTACCGTCTCGCGTTTACCAGCACACACGCCGCTTCGTATCGCTGAACCTCGCTCGTCATTTCGCCTCGCCACCTTCGCTTACTTTCCCACTTCCGTCTACTTCGATTTTCTCTCTCCTCTCTCTCTCTATTTTTTTCTCTGCTGCACTCGAGAGATCATCCGCCACCAATTTATTACGCGATCGGGGCTTTTTTTTCTTTGGTTCGCCAATAAGTTTCGGGATCGCGATGCTCGAGCCGAGAGATTCGTGGCATTGAGAATTTAGATTTAGGTTTTTACTTATAGAGAATTTATGTAGAGGATCTTCAAGATGACCGGAGAGTGAGTGTAGAAGGGATGATCATCCCTTGTTGGTTATGATCAATGATTTACGCTACGATTTTACGCGTCGTCCATGTTCTTATGCTGATATCTCTCTCTCTCTCTCTCTCTCTCTCTTTTTCTCTCTCTCTCTCTGTTACGTCTCCCCGTTTTATTAGGATCTACACACACGCAAGGATGTTGGAAAAGTATTAGGTCGAGTCGTGAATAACTTCTGTTTTTTTATCAGACATTTATTTTTATTTTTATTTATTTAGATTTATTTTGATTTATTTTTATTTAGATTTATTTAGATCTATTTTTATTTATTTTTATTTAGATTTATTTTTATTTATATTTATTTAGATCTATTTTTATTTATTTTTATTTAGATTTATTTTTATTTATTTTTATTTAGATTTATTTTTATTTATTTTTATTTAGATTTATTTAGATCTATTTTTATTTATTTTGATTTAGATTTATTTTGTTTTATTTTTATTTTGATTTATTTAGATCTATTTTTATTTATTTTTATTTATTTTTATTTAGATTTATTTTGATTTAGATTTATTTAGATTTATTTTTATTTAGATTTATTTCTTATTTTATTTATTTTGAATCTTATATCTTATCAATGTAGTGAAAGTAGAAGCTCGTTTGTCCCGATGGCTCATAGTGGGTAGATACGAACAATAGATTCTACCTAGCTGCATCAGAANTTTTGTTTTATTTTTATTTTGATTTATTTAGATCTATTTTTATTTATTTTTATTTATTTTTATTTAGATTTATTTTGATTTAGATTTATTTAGATTTATTTTTATTTAGATTTATTTCTTATTTTATTTATTTTGAATCTTATATCTTATCAATGTAGTGAAAGTAGAAGCTCGTTTGTCCCGATGGCTCATAGTGGGTAGATACGAACAATAGATTCTACCTAGCTGCATCAGAAGTTATTTATGACTCGACCTAATGGTAGATGCACAACTTAACTATTCACTATTGCAATTTGATTACGTATACACTTTTAATTCGAACAACCGAAGACACTGCTTAACATTGAACTTTTTCCAACATCGATAGAAGCAGAGCCTCGCTATACGGTATCAAGATTGTACAGCTGGAATGGCTAGAACCGCGAGCGAACAAAGTGACCTTTTCGATATTATGTATCCCCGGCTGAACTGCACTATAAAAGGGCTTACGGAGCTCGCAAAACAGAGACCAATGATAATGATTTTACGAATTTCTCGCGGTTGTCGACGTGGCGGTGAAGGTGTTAATAAAAAAGATACAGCTATGCCGTAACTGTAATGTATGCTGAAAAATACAGGTAAGACACAGGCAAGAAAATTGATCTCGATGTGCCAATTTAGAATGTTATCCAATGTTCCCTGTGACAACGAAATAAGCTTAGGTTGCAAAAGTCTCTGCTTCGCTTCGTGTTTCGCCCCAAGGATCCCCCCATCGGTCGAGGCTGCACAGACAGAAATTTCGCCAAGTACTCTACGAAAGAATTAAAATCGTCTAAAAAGATATATAAGCTAGATTTCGCGGTAGCAAAGGCGACGGTCCGTCTTGGTTCTCGGCGATCAAAGCGGTTGATAATGAGCAAAGATGAAAATTAGAAGGGTGGGGAGAGAGAGGGAGATTCCTCTGCTGAGAAACACCGTAACGAGTTGCGTATCGGGACGACATCGAACGGAGCGAGAGAGAGTGAGAGAGAGAGAGAGAGAGAGGAAAGCGGAGGAACTAGAGAAAATGGAAAGAGGTGGTAGAAGGAGAACGACCGGGAAAAACGATACCGTTCCACCGTGCGAATCGCAGGCAAGGGATCAGGCATCAGCAACCTCGCCATCTACCTCCCTGGTTTTTCCCTCCAGGTGTAGGCATGCCGCCATGCGGTGGCCACGGTGGCCACGACGGCTACGGTGTGTACGCGTTTTCTCCGTTCAAGTATGTGCTCGTGTAGTTCGTGCGAGAGTGATTCTGTATATAGGATGCGACAGTGTGGCGCCAAGCTCTCGCATACGAGCCAGTTTCCTCCGGTGTTTCGCGACGGTACGGCCAGACCAGTGTACAGGGTGCTCGAGAAACATCGAACGCGTTCCACGATCGACGACGGCGATCGACGTCGAGATACGATGCTCTCTCGTGAAGATGAGGGTACCAGTAGAAATATGCGCGACGCGAGAGCTTCGAATTTCGAACGATTTTTAGCAGGGCTCGGAATTAAGTGCTCATAACGGAGGCGAAGCATTTTCGGAGACCGCTGTGAAATGCGCTGCAGGAGAGAGATCTCACGAATGAGATTTCGCGATGCCACTCTGCAGCACGTTTCAGAGCAGCCCCTCGAAATGTGCATTTAATTCCGAGCCCCGATTTCGAGGATCGACGCCGCGAGGAGTATAGGACCGCGAGGTGCACGCATGTCTACGAACTTTAAGTTTCCGATCGCAGCCAATTGTTGCGAGTCGCCGATATTTCGATTGGGATACTAAATATTACAATGATAAAAATTGTAACATTAGAACTGTCGAACCACCGATCTCAGATTTTTTATTCCATCGTTACTGAGATTGTAAAAATGCTATTATGGGCGATTGTCGGATGCATCGAATTGTCCGGATACATTTTCTAATTAAAATTGCGCAATGCCTCGACGGGTCCTGTTATTTTTAAATGACAATGCGAACTAGCTTTTTCGATGCTCGACGAGTCTGGTGTTAACAAACGATTGCACGCGACGCAGGTTTGGCGCGCATGTTCGTGTATCGAGAATCGTGTTTCGAAAACTGTCCCAACTTTTACCTGCAATTCTTTCCAGCGTTTACGTTTACTGAAGTTTTCCGAGACTGTTCGACGAATTAGTCGTCAATTAACCGCTATTATGTATCGCTCAAGTCGAGCAGAAGGTTGGAGTGGAAATAGAAATGACTTCCAGTCGTACCTAATTATACTATAGCATCTTATCGTCGGGGACGAGGGAAACGCGTGGAGTTGCACTTAAAATCATTTACCGAACTTGCAGCTGACGTACGAGGAACGAATTTATGTATATTATTTGCGGAAAAGCGTACTAGAAATGATAAAAAAAGAACGACAAATCGAAGTCGAAAACACGTCGTACAGACTCTTGCACGCGGTAATTATTTGTCGCACTTCTGCGTCATCCGTAATAGATGAGAAGGTGAGATTTGACGGTGTTAAGAACCGTCGGTGTTCGATAACAATTGCTGCTTGTTATAGGTTTCCCTCTCGCGAACATACGACAATTTCTTGAATAAATTAATATGAACTGTAAAATGTAAATTTGTCGGAGAAATTTCTAACTAAAGGATCGAATCGATTTTGGTCATTCTAACGACATCTAGCGGGAACATCGTGGTATTAATTGGTTATCAACTTGAGCGTTTTATCGTAGATGGTACCACCGACTATTTCCATTAGAACTTTTCAAGGAAATATTAATTAAAAAAACTTTGCAACTAACGATAGTTGTCCCTACATGTTCGTTGAAAATAAATTAGGAACATTTCTAGTTATTCAATAATCCGTCTGTCACTGTTTCGATGTTTCGAACCTATAATAATCTAAATAACCTATCCTATCCTTAAGAAACGTCTCCTCTTATCTATCCGTCACCATTTGTTAACTGAAGCAGATAGTGACAGTCATGTGACAGAGAAATAATAAATTCATTAAATGATATATAATCGGTTTAAATAAATGCATTCTGTATCATAAAATGTAATGAACAATACCTGGTGAAGCTATCGAAATGTTTACGATGTGAAAGGGCATTGCAGGACTGTAAACTAAACTGTGTACATACCGCATGCACTATGTACAGTGGAAAAGTTCCCGCGAAAAACTTTATTTTCCAAACAACTTGACTCGAAAAAAAGTGTTTGTCTACAATTGTGCTGCACAAGATGGGTTAGTAGCGAGCACTATAATTTATTCGTTGTAACGACGTATTAATTGATCATTCTTTTAGTCTTCCCACGAAACAAGTCAGGTTCGTCGCAAGAGAGATTCTTGTCGCAACCGAGCGGTAGCAGACGCAAAAGGGACATAAACTATGAACTTGAGAGTCTATCGCAACCTGTTCCAAGTACAAGCACAAGAAGATCATCCCCGATTCGTATGGTTTCGGATGAAGATGGTAGACTTACCAATAACCTGATAAAATATATGCTCGTATTAGATAGAAAAAAACAGGTTATTAACAAGGCACGAATAGTAAAGAATGTGCTCGGAGGACAGGGGAAAGAATTTACTCATGTGATAAGTAAAGCCAAGTACCTGCTATCGAAGGTACAAACTGACCTCTGAGTTAGTTGACATTCTAACTTTGTCAGTAAATAAACAAACGCGTTTGCAGGTCTTCGGATACAATCTAGTGGAATTAGAAAGTAACAAATATATATTAGTAAACGAATTGGAGAACAGTTTGCCTCATATTCGTCGCCAAGGAGCCGATGCAAGCCAACAAGTATTATTGTTCCTAGTCCTTACCCATGTGTTTATGAACGATGACTACTGTACACAAGGTAACTACTAGCACCAATTCAGGATTTTTCTTGTTACTGTCCACCACTATTTTGGTACCAATTCTGGTACGTATGTGATATGATTGTGATAATCGAATGAAATTGTTTAAGCGATACATGAGAAAGATTTATACAATACAAGGAAACATAGACTGTTTAAGTAGCAAAATTGGAGGGAGAATAACAGGAAAGATCACTATATTACTTTGTACTAATTGCTGGCTGTTCTAGAGTCTCTACTGAATTTTCTACAACATCTGGGTATCACATCAGAAAGCGATGAGGAACATAGCTATTTTGGTTACGTAAAACATACTGTAACAGAGGTATGGAAAACTGAAAACTATAACAGACAACGGATCATAAATCTTTTATTAACTCAAAACACATTCGTTCCGTAGGTATTCGTCGCCCAAAAATATCTTGACAAAGTAGAGGAAACAAATGAAAAGGTGGTTGTACAATATAAATGGGGACCACGCGCAGAACACGAATTTTCTCGTCGTGCAGCCTTGGAATTCGTATCTGAGGTCAGCATATATTCGCTGTGAACCTGTACTTCGATAGCATATTAACGTCCATTGTTTTCAGATATACAAGGGCCGTCCGCTAGATAGTTGGCCATTGCAATTTAAGGCAATGTCAGCACGAGAAAAAAGTATCGCTCGAATTAAGCGTATCGGAGATGAATGATCGCATCTCGTTATGCCGCGGAAAACAAAAGTAAAACAAAAGCAGAGAAATATACTATTGTTGTTTACCGAACGGAACGTTTTTCCTTTTCTCTAAAACGACCCTGAAAGCAGCCGTAAAACTGCGGATCGAGATTAAAGTTCGTGCGCGGTCTTCGAGTTCAACATTGGGGTCAGAGGAATCTGAAACGTGTCCTATTGGCCTAGTTCTAACCGAATCTAATTGGATTCATATTTTCTTCCGGCGTTACGTCGTACAATTCGACGATCCGTGTAAAGCGTATAGCAACAAGAAAAGAACGATACAATAAAAGAGGATAATGACGTGAAATCGTATATTGCTAGAACTTTTCCGCCGCGTCCCGAATTCTTCGACTTATCGCCAGCTATTTGTTTCCACCGCTACAAATTCAGACTCGAAGAGATTCAAATCACACCCCAAAAACTTGTAAAATGCGAGCCACGAAACAATACGTTCTAAGAGACAAATGTTGCTTCTTCAAATGAATTTATTATCGTCTGTCTCCAAACGTTTCTTCCGTCCTCGACGATTCGCGAATTAGAAAATAGAATCGAAAAATAACGAAAAATAAAAGGAATCGTTCAATCAATCGCGAATTCGTACAGGAATCGAAGTAACCGAATTTTCTAAATTTCCGATTTTAAACTAGAACTGAATCTCTTACCCCTGTTTTCGAGTATCGCGAAGATGTTGGTGTTGGAGTATTTCCGGGGCGTTAGGAGACTACCGGTCGAAGCCTACTCTAGCACGAGGGGGTGCTCTCGCGTGAAAAGGGAGGGTAGATCGTCGCGCGGCCCGGAGACACGGTACAAATGAATCCGTAAAAGATCGTGCAGACGTTAAACAAGGGATACGTGATTCGAGAGGGTAAGTAAGAGCTGCGTGGAGACATGGCGGATGGAGATTGCGCAGGGGCGAGATGGCGGGAGACGGGGGTGGTTGAGGGTGGACGAGGGAGATGGGAGAGACTTCTATATAGCCTTCTAATGCTATATAGCGGCCGTTGAGCCAGCAATGCGGGAAATGTATGTCAGGCCGGGCTGGCTCGGAGCGCGAGTCGGCGGTGGTGGTCAGTGTTCGACGGTGTTCCAGTCGGGTTTGGCGGATAGGGTGGTTGCGCTGCGTGGGTGGCGCGCGCGGTTCGTAGTGTCGCAGTACCGCGCGCACCTTCATCATCATCCGTTCGCTTTCTTTTCCCACGATAGAAATCGCCTCATCGCCTGGCCCATCAACCACTCGTAGCATTTGATAATACACCTGTTCCTCCCGGTGGTTTGTTGCTACCGGGACTTAGGGGACCATCCGACGTTCTCCGCGGGTCTGACTTCCGTCGGGCTCGCGACAGGGAAATAACGGGACCAATCGTCTGCGATCGAAGAAAAGGAGTCGTCTCGAGGCGAGACGCCAAGGCGTGTACCATCGGCGGGACCCTCGTCGCGTGATAAAAAGGACCTACCTATGTACCATGCGCCCTACGGACTCGTTCGAGATTTGCCGCGAAATACACGGAGAGAGCCAACCAGACAGAGATTGGATACGGTGAAGTTCCTCTTTTAGAAGTGGTTTTGCCTATCCCGAAGAGACGAACAGACGAGAAACTCGGCCAAAGGAAACGCTCGAAGACGCGGGTACAGGATCGCGCGTATCGTTCGATGCCCTCTCGTTAGAGCCGAGAGAATTTCCCGATCCAGGAGCACGATCGAGATCCAATCATGTTCAATCTCTATCAGAACTTGAACAAGAAGGACGAGGAACACAAGGAGTCGGACGTTACCGGTCATGACAGGTTCTGGCAGGAACGTCCGAGGACAAGGCGGAAACGTCGGGCCGTCAACCGGAGGACTCAAAGCGCCATCGAGCTCGACTCCGAGGCCATGGTGTCGGCCCGCGGGACCCTCCGCCGTGGAAGAAGCGCGAGCATCGAGGACGAGGACAGCGACGAAGAGAAAGGCTACCAGCTGACCACCAAGATCGACAATTTAGCCAAGATATTGTTCAGTCGCGTGTCCGCTGCGCGAGGCTGCAAGGAACCGGACGTCAGGTAATCCGGTCGTGAAAAATCGGAACCACACGCTGATTCATTATCGTTTCTTTTTTTCTTCGCCGCGAGAAAGCTTTCGTTTCTTTCTTTACATCATTGTCTTTTTGCTCGATCTTCCGATCGAGGACTTCTCGCGCGCTAATTTCGAATTACCCCGCCCCACGGTTTTAAACCCCGACAACCTCGCAGGACACACGTTCCGTTCGACCGCGTTCGTTTACAAACTGGATCCGCTTGTTCGATTTCAAATCAGTATTTCGGGTACAATGGACTCCGATGATTCGACGGGGACGAGTCGGTTCGCGCAAACCCTGGACCGTCACAGGAACTTCTCGCACAGCTTCCGATTTCGAGGGAAACGGGTGCCCCCGAGAAGACGGCGTTCGCTAGGGTGATCATTCTTTCTCCATTATCCAGCTGTCGTCGATGAGCCAGCTTTCTAATGGATCGCGGGATCGATTACCGGTGGATCGCGAGCGTTCTCTACCTCTTCCGGTAATTAGCGGCGAGAAGAAGTCGCAATTAAACAGAGCGCGGCGCGGACGAAGAATTCGATGGTCGACGGGGTGACTCGATGAATCGCGTACCAAATTAAATAGAGTGACGAGGGGTGGAACATCGACGACAGCGATATGATTTTCCACTGGTGATCTTATTGGATGAAACCCTTGGTTGCGCCCGCAGAGAAGGATGGCTGCTCCCTGGCAACCCAAACGAGACCGATCCAGTTTGTAATCGTTGGTTCGAGAATCTAATCCGTTACTGGCATCGCTCGCGAAATCGTTCGCCCGATCGCGAAATTTATTTCGAACGATGTTCCGCACTTACGGTCGAATCGGCCGCGCTTCTCAGGTAGTTTTATTTTATTCTGTTATACCGTATCGGCAGAATTACATTGTTACGAATCATTCTGGGCGCAAAGTAACTTTTACGTTATTAGCGAGATTTAAATAAAGACTATATATTGCTACATTAGAAATATTGGGTTGGCCAATAGATCCGTGCTTTTTCCAAATAGATAGGTAAATGGCAATACAGAAAGAAAACGCAATGATTTATTGGCCAGCCCAATAGTAGAAAATAGAAACATGCATAGCTTTTTTCGGTTGGATATCGCTAACAATGTAAAAATAATTTTGAGATTATAATTATCAGACTGCGGATTTTGCGCATTTATGCTAAACATGAGTGGGTGTAGTTTAAGAAAATGAGAAAATTTAACGCTAGATTTACGGACAATAATTTTTTAATTTACGGTTATTCATATCGTAAAGATATGAGTTGGATACATTTATACGAGTTATTTATTCAATTTATATGTTACTTATATGTTACAATAACACTTGTTAAAAATCAGAATAAATGTCTTATTGTTACTTTTATAAACTAATATAGAACAGCTGTTTTTCGTGCTCCGTAAATCTAGTATTAAAGAAACTAAGATTGTCGACTTATTAGCAATATTGATGAATCGACAAAAAAAATTGTGCTCAGCTCCTGCCTCTTGCGATTGACGCGGACATCTTTTATTTTGCACGAATATCCGCGGTCTAATAATTCACCTTGCTTGTACGTCGGGACAAATGAAATCGCGACGAATGGCGGAACAGGAAAATCTTTTAATCGAAATGAAACTTTGTCCGAGACAGAAACGGAAGGCACAGCTACACGGCGCTGGGCCACGGGCCGTCGGCGTGCGAGGATGCCAGCGAGTACATGGAAATGGAGAAAAGATCTCGAGATCGTGCTTTATCAATTTGCCAGGCTTATATCCGAAGAACGCCGCGCTATAGTCTCGTGAAGCAGCTGAATAATCTCGGTAAGCCCTCGAGCCCNTCGCACAGCTTCCGATTTCGAGGGAAACGGGTGCCCCCGAGAAGACGGCGTTCGCTAGGGTGATCATTCTTTCTCCATTATCCAGCTGTCGTCGATGAGCCAGCTTTCTAATGGATCGCGGGATCGATTACCGGTGGATCGCGAGCGTTCTCTACCTCTTCCGGTAATTAGCGGCGAGAAGAAGTCGCAATTAAACAGAGCGCGGCGCGGACGAAGAATTCGATGGTCGACGGGGTGACTCGATGAATCGCGTACCAAATTAAATAGAGTGACGAGGGGTGGAACATCGACGACAGCGATATGATTTTCCACTGGTGATCTTATTGGATGAAACCCTTGGTTGCGCCCGCAGAGAAGGATGGCTGCTCCCTGGCAACCCAAACGAGACCGATCCAGTTTGTAATCGTTGGTTCGAGAATCTAATCCGTTACTGGCATCGCTCGCGAAATCGTTCGCCCGATCGCGAAATTTATTTCGAACGATGTTCCGCACTTACGGTCGAATCGGCCGCGCTTCTCAGGTAGTTTTATTTTATTCTGTTATACCGTATCGGCAGAATTACATTGTTACGAATCATTCTGGGCGCAAAGTAACTTTTACGTTATTAGCGAGATTTAAATAAAGACTATATATTGCTACATTAGAAATATTGGGTTGGCCAATAGATCCGTGCTTTTTCCAAATAGATAGGTAAATGGCAATACAGAAAGAAAACGCAATGATTTATTGGCCAGCCCAATAGTAGAAAATAGAAACATGCATAGCTTTTTTCGGTTGGATATCGCTAACAATGTAAAAATAATTTTGAGATTATAATTATCAGACTGCGGATTTTGCGCATTTATGCTAAACATGAGTGGGTGTAGTTTAAGAAAATGAGAAAATTTAACGCTAGATTTACGGACAATAATTTTTTAATTTACGGTTATTCATATCGTAAAGATATGAGTTGGATACATTTATACGAGTTATTTATTCAATTTATATGTTACTTATATGTTACAATAACACTTGTTAAAAATCAGAATAAATGTCTTATTGTTACTTTTATAAACTAATATAGAACAGCTGTTTTTCGTGCTCCGTAAATCTAGTATTAAAGAAACTAAGATTGTCGACTTATTAGCAATATTGATGAATCGACAAAAAAAATTGTGCTCAGCTCCTGCCTCTTGCGATTGACGCGGACATCTTTTATTTTGCACGAATATCCGCGGTCTAATAATTCACCTTGCTTGTACGTCGGGACAAATGAAATCGCGACGAATGGCGGAACAGGAAAATCTTTTAATCGAAATGAAACTTTGTCCGAGACAGAAACGGAAGGCACAGCTACACGGCGCTGGGCCACGGGCCGTCGGCGTGCGAGGATGCCAGCGAGTACATGGAAATGGAGAAAAGATCTCGAGATCGTGCTTTATCAATTTGCCAGGCTTATATCCGAAGAACGCCGCGCTATAGTCTCGTGAAGCAGCTGAATAATCTCGGTAAGCCCTCGAGCCCTCCGCTCAATCTCCACCTCGTTCCTCCTCCTCGCCCATATGCCTCTCCATCCCCGATGCGCCCCGTCTCTCGACGGTCTCCCCTGGCGCGACATCGTCTTTCGTTAAGACAAACTTCCATAAATTTCTCGCCCGTTCGTTCGTTTTTTCGCGTGATGTTTCAGGCTCTAGGGTGAACAAGCACTGGTTCGCGGTGCGGGACACATCCCTAAAGACCGACCGACTGATCACGTTGGCGCCGTTGAGCAGCAATTGCTCGTTGACCGTTTCCACACTGACGAAAAACATTTTAAGCGACTTGTTTTTGGCGTTACAGCATCCGTACATATGCCCTATATTCGACATCGATTTTCTCGAATACGAACGCGAGAATTACGTGATCGTGGTACAGCCTATCAGTCAGGGTAGCCTGAAGGATCTGATTTACGGGGTGAGTATATATGATTAGCGGAGTATTAGGCGGCGGATAGCGTAATCGAGACCAGCGACGCTCAGATTGTTGCTCGGCAGATCGAAAGAACCGGCTGGAACGAGGATTGGGGACAGAAGTACGCGTCCCGCGGCAAAGGGCTGCCCTTGCCTCAGATTCAACAAATGGGCCGGCAAGTGTTGGAGGCGTTGGTCTTTCTGAAGAAACGAGAATTCCCGATGGTAACGCATTTGCATTCCGGCAACGTGCTCGTTCAGAACGGCGTGGCAAGGCTCGCCGGCCTCGAGAACACGCTCCTCGGCTTCACCAGCCGCATCCATCCGGTAATCGCATCGCGAATCTCGCAGACTAATCCCATCGACATCGTATCCTTCGGTAAGATCGATCATCTCCACGGAACTTTCTCCCTGGAACTTTATTTTTACAAACGTTTCACACCACGTACCGTCTACTTCCAGGTCATATGCTATTCGAAATGTGCGCTGGTTACGAATTGCGAACGTTTAAACCGAATTCAATGCAACTCTCGGATCTTGAAATGTATCCACAAGTACAAATCTCTCTCTATCTCTCTTTCTATCTCTCCACCCCGCCCCCCCCCTTATTTTCTGTTCTCCCTTTGTTTCTCTGCTTCGGATTGTAACTTGTATCTGTTGCTTTTCATTAATTTTTTTTTTGTTCTGCTTGTCTCCATGGGTTTCGTTACCGTCGAGATCGTTTGCACAGTTTTCGCTGGGAAAACGAGCAACGATCGTTGCTCGGTTTCGCCACGGGCCCGAGAAAATCGATTCCCAACGCGACGATTTAATCACTGACGAAAACGTTCCCTTGCACAGGTAATCGAGCTACTCAAGTATATATTCGGCGAGCCGACTAGTCGCCCCAGAAATATCGAAGAGCTTCTTGTTCACGATTTGTTCAGAAACATCGATCTCCGCGAAATGCGCAGTGCTCCCGTCACGGTAAGAACGTTATATATTATATGCGAATAGTTCGCATTACAACAATGGACGCGCGGTGCATTCGGGAGCTTGCCGAACGCACCGTGCGTGCAAGCTTGCACGGAACAGGCGCATCCTAATTCATAATTCACACGCTTCTCTCTCGCAGATATTTCGGCCAACGTTGACACCATCGATCGCAAACTTACTCGATGGCATTAAACGGCAAAGCGTGACTAAGAGGTAAACGAACGAGGCTATACGTTGAAGCCGATCCGTTTTTATCAATTTTTTTCCGTTTAAAAAAGGCGAACAAATCTTGCTAAACGTTCATTTTGCATGCACAACAGACAGAGATCGCGGTCTATAAGCGACGTGTATTTAACACGCAGATTTTGGTAATGACCACCACCAGGATCCTAATTAATCGACGATTTAATCATGAACCGCGACGTTTTCACCGTTAGGATTTATACTCGCCTTCTATTCCGATTTCCAGAGTCCCGAGCTTGGACGTGGTCGACGTCGACGCTTTGTCCCTGCACCGACCGGAGACGGTCTGCAGGCACTCGCTGCTCGACGAAATCTACAACGAACTATCGAACACGGCTGTGTAATTTTGTGGGAACAAATAGTTTCTACGAGAATCGAATCGGCTTTAGAACACGTATCGTCGCCATTCTACCGAGGATCTTGAATTCGCGTCTTTCTGTACCAAATGCCAAAAAAAAGCAAGCGTTTCAAGACCTCTGCGATACGAGCTAACGGCGATAATATTATACATATATACATATACACATATATTTAGTAAAAGAAATAAAAGTGGAAAAAAAGAGAATTCAGAAGACGATGAAGAATGGAAATCAATAATAAACCGTATAGAGGAGGAAAAATAAAGAAAAGTCGTAATACGTACGGTCGATTTTATTATCCAAAGTATTAAAACACACCCAAGACATCCGTATCGATGAAAAATGCAGGAAAACGGTGAAGTGTACTTTACAAGCATCGAGAACTCGACGCTATTTCCATCGAGTTTCTGTAGTACACAGTTTCTGAGCGTATATGCTGTACTTTTCCGATTATTTGTTTTTGCCGTAATTCGGTGATAAGGTGACTCGTGGGTGGTATGTAAGAAGGAAACGATGCGGAGACGAACGAAACAGGAAGAACCTCGAATGCAGTCCCCGAGTAGCGGAAACTCGAACTGTTCTCTGTTCGTACAAAGAAATCAGAAAAACGATAACGTTTCGCCGGATACAGATCGAGTTTGTCGAACAATTGACGTCAATAGAAATCGAAATCAAATAGATTCGTGTGGCTGTTTCGTTTCGGTAGTTGCGTCCGTGAATGGATGTGTCGCGATGAATTGCGAAATTCTAACGGAAGAGAAAGACGCACAGAGTATCGACAGGCGGGTGCTCTTTTCGCTCTCACGTTTTACCCTTGTCCTGAGGAAAATCGAGCAAAATGGCAATATCGGTTTCATCCGGCACATTCAACTTAGAGCTACACATGTACACAAATGTTTGGAGAAATTGATCGAACCAGCCGAAAAATGATAGGGAAAAGTGAATGTGAAAGAAAACGAGACGTAGACGCAACCAGTTGCTCGCGATGTTCGTTCGATCTATATCGTCTAGAAGCGCGAACGGGCTTTAAGATCGGTAGTAAAAATAGACATTATTGCTTCTTGATGTTCTTTTCGTTTTAACGTACAAACTCGTTTTAACGTCTCTCTTATACTAGCTCGAATGATCAATTTCACGCCTGCGCGCGCGTATATCATAGAAAATTTCAATATCAAATAATTTAATGGATTATTTCTCACAGTTTATGAAGCACCAGCTTCGAGTTCACTTGCTGGCGTGTCCGGTTCTTCGTCGTTGTAAATGTTTTCTGCCATTTGCCATACCTGCATTATGTTATCCTCTGACACTGAACATATCACCCAAGGTTCGTTCGGGTTCCATGAGAAATCGCTGATCTTTGCGGTGTGGCCGCCGTGTATAAACTGCACAGTAAAAAGAAAATTAATGAAATGTACAAGTATTATAAATACTAGCTATTGTCTAACTGAAATTTAGAAAGACAAACGAATCAGGCATACAAGTAACTCGGGTGGGCCATCCTCGGCATCCTCGCTGGACTGCTCTTCACCGATTTTGCTCAGATCCCATACGTGTAGACGCCTGTCTGTGCCGCTACTAGCTAATATCGTCTCATTGTGCGGTGACCATTGTACTTGGAAGATCTCATCCTTGTGAGATTCGAAGGAATGTAGCTTCAGTTTGAGGTTCCTCAAATCCCAGAGTGCTACAGTCTTGTCAGCACTGCCAGTCGCGAGGATAAATTCTGAGTACGGATTGAAGCTTAAACAGTTGACTTCGGCGGTATGGGCGTCGACTGTGTGACTCGGTTTGCTTGTGTTGTTACACCTACGGAAAGGGAAAACGTATATAACAATTTATCGTATGCTGACGGTTGTCGACGTTCGTTGTTACCTTGTATCCCATATCATTAACTTCTGATCGTCCGCCACCGAACCGAATAGAGATTCGTGCAACAAGTGCCATGCTACGTCCTCGACAACAGCGGTGTGTCCAGTAAATATGGTTTTCGCATCAATAACACGGTTTTCTTTTGGCGGCGCGTTAATGTCCCACAAGCAAATCGTATGATCATCGGATGCGCTCAGCAGATATCCATTGAGATTAGGGTTCCACGACAGGCCGTAACCTTCCTTCTGATGTCCTCTCAACCTGTTTTGAATAACGATCATATTAATTCGTGAACAACCGATTACAAGCGCGAAATGCAAACGCTTACCTCAGGTCGGGCTGACATTCGCCATTTGGATCTGGTTTACTAGGATGTTTAGTGTAATCGAACACTAGAACATCGCTGGATGGTGTTTTAGTTGCGATTACGCAAGGATTCTGCGGCATATACCGTGCTCTGTTCACTTCTCCTTCATGATTTATCTTTATTTCGATTTCTATTTTTCCACTGACAGATCCGAATCCACCAAATTCTCCCTTCTCATTGTCGTAATGAGAAGCATCAAATTGAGCATCTTCGTTCGGCAATTGCACACTAGCAATGAGCAAATGGTTCTGTTCGTCTGAAGTATGCGTACCTAGAATAAGGCGGTGTACCGAATAATCTTTCCCTTCTGGTCTAGTTACGTCGGGCAACCATTGTGCAGTCAAGGATGGCCACTCAAGAGCATGTGTCATCACAAGATCATATAAAAACGGAGTATTTTTCTTCCAAATTTTATATTCCTCATTGATAACTCTTTCTTCCACTGCATCGTCAAAGGTTTCTGCAACCGAACAGTATTTATAGTAAAACACACTGAAGTGAGTTAGAAATGAGTTAGGTCCTGGGAAGGGAAGGTTCTGATACAGTTTGGTTAAACAACTGGGAAATCAATCATCACGCGACTATAAAAAACATTTGACGGGATGATAATTTCGATATGCCATGAAACAAACACCATAGAGAAAGAGATTGAAATTCAACCGATAAAAACGATATATTCTTTGCGAAGAGATAACCTGCCGGCGAGTGAACGAGAACCTCTCTTTGAAACCATTTGGATTCAAAGAGAAGAAGTAATTTCTCTCCCTGTTCTTGATTTTAATGGAACGTCGCGAACAAATCGTACGACTTTCCCAAATAAATGACGATTTCTTGCAAAGATAGATCTACAAGAAGTTCTCGCAAGTGAGAATCTTGTTTACCATAATATGGAAAGCGTCCTTTGAACGAACGTTTGATAGTTATAAATATACGAACAATTGGAAAGCATAACAGAGATACGAGAACACTTAATTTATTCTTACCGCCGTCCTTATCTCCCATCCTTGCGCTTCGTTAAATCTTTACAGTACTGCGTGAAATACTGACAAAACCTTTAACCCGCCAAAAAGCCGCGAAGCCCAGCCGGATTTCATGAAAAATGCAAGCCTACTTGCTAGAATGCCTTAAACGTGTATGCCGCGTTTTCATGGTGCAATCACATATGGTATGCCATTACGCCGATATGCGTCAGGCCAATGAGCATATGAAAATTTTTGTGACATGCACCTTAAAGTATGATGGTGGCGATGTGCAGCGAGCGCACACGAGACTAGAAATTGTCGCGCGCAATTCAATCAATATTTGTTGTTCTATTGAGTTTCTCATTGATATTGGAATTAGAGACTTTTATGATAAATTTCAAAATAAGTAAAAAACACATAACAAATTTACTTGTGGCATATAATAATCATTAATTACGAAAAAATTGTTTCGAAATGCTATGATCTCAAATTGTGTCGCTAGACGGTAGTAGGGACACGGTTTACGTAATATCGAGTGAAACCGAGAAACAACGTTGAAGTACATTTCACATTTGGACGATTTGGATAGCGACAGCGACAGTGCTGACTGGCGCTGACATTTGCTCAAGGTTATAAACCAAAGTTTTGTATACGTACATATATGATTAATCTTCTATATTTGAAAGGTAACTTGACATTTTCGTGAACTTTTTATCACATCTACCATTTAAAAAATAACAATTAGTAAATGCATTATTATTATTGTTTAGGGAAACGTATAAATTCTAACCTCTAATAATACACTGATGGAAATACATATAGAGAAACATGGGTGATATCAACGCAAAGCGAGACGCGAGAAGGAGACGAATTTTAGAAAACTCAGAAAAACGTTTGTTAAAAATTACTGCTTTAAATGGCAATACTAAACCAGAAGGTAAATAATATTTTCATCTCTGAAAACAACAAAATAGGTTAAAACTAGTGTGGGTTGCAAATTTATGTGTTTGCTCTTTAAATATTAATGCCTACATTCTTTAGTTTTCTTAAGACCTTTGGTCTTCAATAAACTATATAATTCATAGAAATTTGGCTAATAATGGGAACATAACAGACATTCGAATGGAATGTTACTAATAATATTAAATGTTACTAATAATCAGTTATTATATGATATCTTCAATTTCATACTTAGATACGTCTAGTCAAACTTCATTTATCTATAGAGGAACGCAAGAGGAATTACAACAAAATATAAATGGTAAAATATTAGAAAATATATTTTTACATCAAATGTATTTTTTTATATAGAATAATTGTACTCTTTATTTTATTGTATGATTGTAGAAACATGCTATGATGGAATTAAGAATACAAAC